CTGTAAAAATCTATTTTTAACATTGGTGACCTTGACATTGGTGACATTGATCTTGACCCAGATGACCCCTTACTATACCCAAAGAAGGAGGACCTCCCTTGGCATGTTTGAAAGACATCAACCAAAAAATAAAGGCTGAATGAGCAAAAATGTTTAAATTTATTTTCTAAACCAGTGACCTTGACCTTGATATCAATATTATAGAGAATCTGTGGCTTCTGATAAAAAGAAAACTCCAGGGACGAGTAGGCCGAATAGAAAGTAGAGAAGATCTTTTCCGGGAAATTCAGTGTATATGGACAGATATTACTCCGGCATACATTCGAACCCTCTACCGGTCAATCCCAAGACGATTATTGAGTGTAATTCGACTGTAAGGTCATCTATCCAAGTACTAGGTAAGTTACAATAGAATACAGTAAGAATTAACCGTAATATTTATCGTAAAATTTTCCTTCGCCTCCGTTATTTTTTAAGCGCGCCGCCATTTTGTCCGAATATATATTGCACTATATTGTTATCGCCTTTTGGTCTATCATCTTGTCGTCGAAGCGCGGAAAACGGCGCGTTGTCTCTATGTCGCCCTGTCGCTTGGCTTATATATATATATACAAATAGCCAATCCATTTTTGCCGAGCGACAATCTGACATTGTGACAACACGCCGCACGACAACGCGCCGTAAGCGACAAGACGAAAGTCCAACTACGCCCCGTTTGGCGCTTTGTCCTACTGTCGCTAGCGACGACACGACGCACAAGTGTTCCAAATCAGCCAACATTCAAGACAAACTTTTCATATTTGAAGGAAACGAGAAAAAAGAGAGGTTTAACAAGGCACATATTTCGACACGAAATGTAGTAGAGAGAGTTGTCTGAGTTTGGAAGAGAACCTGACTGTCATATCTCACATGGTGAAGTATGTCATATTTAATACACGTACTTGAGTATAACAACCGACCTTCTTTAAGCTAGCTGGATACCTTCCTCACATGAAAGAATTCAAAGTCCTGCGCTTCTAACCCACAGGAGTGGGAGGCAAGTCCAGATTTAAAGTCGGCGACCTTAACCACTCCTCGAAAAATGCGCCTGAAAGGAATAATCTCAAAATTCTATTAAATCGGACTAATATCAACATGCTTCAGAATGCCAACATTTAGAGGTAGAAGATAGATGTAATTTTATAGGATAAATTGATTCATTGGTCTGACACACATACATCTAAGTTTATTGAATTGGGTACATGTGATACGAAATGTATCCTCAAGAGTGGTAAGAAAACATATTTAATCAGTCGATTTATCGGCATCAGAGATGTATTGAATGTAACGGACTTTTGAGCGATGCAGGACACACGACACGTCAAAAATCGAAGTAACGTCCAGTGACGTCGCTGTCATCGTGACAAGGGGCGCTGGCATTCGGCGGCAATGCCTTATGTATCAAATACAGACAGTTTGTCATACGCGGTTGAAATTCATGTACAAGTGTATACAAGAAAATCATTGATGCAAAGCATCAAAGGGCGTCCAAGCAAGAAATGCAGCAAGTGAAGATGAACTAGTACACATATGATGACAAGATATTCTTATAAACTACCAGAAATGTATATCACTTATGAATGAGCGGACGAAAGACATTGTTCATTATGAACTTTGATTGGCATGCTAGAGATTAGAATATTACTTGTTATTTCTTTATGATCGTGGTTATTAATAGCAACGGATATACATGTATGCAATCATTTATAATCCATATATGTAACGCATGATCAACACGTACCACACCTTTGTAATTGTCCCTTATTATGTTATCGCTATTAGCGAAGACCCCCTCTTAAGGTATCTGTCCACACTTTAAGTTAGTAAAAATATGACACTGGTTATATTACCATGTTGATCATGTTGAGCATAATTGTTTATTATACAATAATTGTAATATCTATTAATTTTAATAAAAAAAAAATACAAATTTTATGAATATTGTTTTCTTTTCTTTTTTGTGTTTTATGTGCTATTTTAATACTGAGTTTTTACTACTCTTTTTTATTAAAATTGTAAAATAAATTTTAAGAATTCAATATTGACCGACGATTATAAGTCAAAGCTTAACTGGAAAAGTCAGTAAATTATGGTTTATCTTTTAATATATAATATTGTTTATTTTTAATCCATGTACATGTACATTTGTATTTTTCTTTATCAGTTTTTAAATTATCAATCAATTGAATAATTCATAAAATCTAATTTGTAACTTTGAATATTTCCTCGGCATCTTTACTAAACACGGATAACAAATTAAATAAAATGTTTCAAAGTTGATAATGTCATTTTAATACCATAAAATGGACCTTTTTCTCAATTATTGTACATATCACGGATTTATATTACATATCAATCCGTGTACATATTTATTGTTTTTATCACATATAGATAAAATGAAACATGCTATTGTTGTTGTTTTTTTTTTCTAATTGTAACGATATCAAACATCTACTCCAAAACCGGGAGAGACCGGGTACTATTCGCCGGTCACTAGTAAATCCCGGTCAAAATGGACCGGGCGAGACCGGTAATTACCGATAGGAGTGATAAATAGATATATCTATAAATAGATTTTTGGAATATTTAGGTCATCAACTGATCTTTCTAGGATACATGTACAACGATAACATACCATGATAACCCACTGTATACTACAAAATGATAAATAAAAAACCCCGAAGAGCGCGATTTATTGACGGAAAAGGTTATTTCATTTGAAAATGTTTGCATTGCGAAATTCTCCAGTTCGCTATTCGCGACATTTCAATCTTAATTAATAATCAAGCACCCTCATACCGATCGGAATGATCGGCTTTTATTATGACCGACTAAAAGGCTCGAGAAGTTGCTGTCGCCCTTTCACAAAATCTGATTTCATTCCATAAGAGCGCCGCGCTTCGGCGCGGAGGCCAATTAAATTGCCGTTTCCGGTCGTGTAATTATTATGAATTATATTTGCCTAACAAAAAAGTTATAAACAAAGTCTACGAATATATTGAACGCCCATCGCAATAAATATTTATAAGAAGAGCAGCATTAAACAAGAGCTGTCACAGAAAGTGACAAATGCCCCCGCAGGATTCTAGTTATAAACCACATATTACATGCTATGTGTGGTGGTAAAAATTGACAAAGTCCGAACTCCAGCAGTGACCTTAAAGACAAAGAAACCTGGGTCTTGTTCACAACACATTGTCCATCCATGGTGACTTTATATTTTTTTAAATAAAAATTGAAACTTTCATGTATATGGAAGTTACAGAGCAGACACAACAACCACCATTTATATGTAAATAACAAAAATATTGAAAAAGTTTAAATCCAAGCAGTGACCTTGAACTAAAGCGTAGGAACACGGGTCTTAAGGGCAACACATCATACATTTATGATAATTTCATATGTGAAATAAAAAAATAAAATCCTTTCATGCATATTAGTTTCAGAGCAGACAAGACCATCTCTGCCTTTATGTATATTAACATCAAAATTGTCAAAGTTTGAACCCCCACAGTGACCTTCACCAAAGTCATAGAAACCAGAGTCTTGTTCGCGACACACCATACATCTATGGTTATTTCATATATGAAAGAAAAATAAAATCCTTTCATGCATACTGAAGTTTCTGAGCGGACACGACCACCACCATCTATATTTATATAACATAAAAAATGACAAAGTTTGAACCCCCACAGTGACCTTGACCTTAGTTGTAGAAACCTGAGTCTTGTTCGTGACACACCATACATCTATTGTTATTTCATATGTGAAAGAAAAATTACAATCCTTTCATGCATACTGAGCTTTCAGAGCGGACACGACCACCACCATCTATATTTATATAACATAAAAAATGACAAAGTTTGAACCCCACAGTGACCTTGACCTTAGTTGTAGAAACCCGAGTCTTGTCCGCGACACACCATACATCTTTGGTTTTTTCATATATGAAAAAAACATTAAAATCCTTTCGAGCATACTGAAGTTTCAGAGCGGACACGACCACCACTGTCTATATGTATAAAACGGGACGGACTGACGGACGGACTGACAGACGGTTCGATTTTAATATGCCCCCCTTCGGGGGCATAAAAATAATCACGTGAAGCAGTTTGGCTTGGAGCATTTGTTACAGACCCTTCTGGATAACTTGACTGTGTGATAGATTCGTCGGCTGTCACCGATACCGTGGTGGTGGTAGTTTTCGCTCCGTATCACGGCAGTAAGCCATATTGAATTCACCAGAGCACAGTTCTGCCACCGCATCGTTCCTGGGCAGGCTTACAGTTTACTAGTTGCCTTCACTTTCGCAAGGAACTGAAACTTCTGTACATACCAGAGCAGAGGTACAGTGCGAATGACCGTAGAAAAGATTTCATGATCAATCGTAACGAAAGTGACCTGCACCGTCCGGAAATCGAACCTTGGTCGCCCGGTTCACAGTCAAACGCTCTACCTATTGAGCTAACCAGACGGCTCTCACCGATACCGATGGCATGTTCATTTTATCTGGCGATGGCATGTTCATTTCATCTGGAAGATCTGCAACATTTCATTGCAAAAAGAAACAGTTTTGAATATTGAACATTTTTGGAACGCTTATTATGATCATGTATACCATTGGGAATTCGAATCTCAAATGAGACAATCATGTTCTTTTGCTTGAGAATCTTTTTTTTTACAAGAACCGATTTTTATAAAAGTTTTATGAGAACTGGGAAAAGCATGTGTTGATGAAACTTTATGGTTTAATTTCCAGCATAATGTGTATAGACGATATTAGTTTTAAATGAAAAACAATACTAAACAAAAAACAATCGATAAGAAGATATATAAAATGAAGTTTGGCCAAACCAGCATTGACTGCTTAAAGGTGAGAATTATTGTTAGCGCTTTTTCCCAAAGCTTTATGTTTGACCAATTCCCATGACAACCTTGCATGAAGAAAATGAGCTTTATTTGTTTTACATGGCGTGCCAGGTATTAACAGAGATCTGTTTTAAAGAGATATTAAATTTTATTAAATCTGAGTGAAGACGAAATATATAATCATGGAGCAAATGTCGGATCTCAAGTAAGTTGTAGCTAAATTTTCCCTTGCTAATGTCTTTAAATTACAAACTGTTTATCTAAATATTTTCATCAAGCATTTCCGGAGAGAAAAAGATTTTTTATCCCTTTTTCTCGTATTTAGGTAACAACGTGTTTTTTAAAGCAACCAATTGTATGAAAAGTGATGGTAGATTTGGAAACAGTTCCAGATATTCAGTTTAGATGGTGTGAACTTAATATATATATTACGTAAGGCCACTGTTTTTAAAACAAAATACTTTTAATATGACAAAAAACAAACAAACACATATAATTTATATTATGATTCACTCGTTAGGGAAACAGGAAACGTCATAAGTGATCTTACCGATATTCTAGATTCAATAATCTTACTGTGGGGTCAAACAGACCCCAAAAGTCCATTTTCGTCGTATTTTAAAAGGAGGGGATGCATGAGAGTTAAAACTTATGTGATTTTAAAAAAAAATAGAATTTTTATATAATTATGAAAGTTTTTTTTTAGTCAATGATGCGAAGCAATTGTTGTTTTCTTTCCGAATGAAGCACTACAAATATGTTCAATTTTTCTTTTCATTTACATTTATAGATAAAGAAAACATATCAAGTGTTATATTTAATGAGCACACCAAGTAGCCTTAGATACTTGACTTGACTTATTCGTCAACTGTAGGGAAAATGAAACGTTTTGTAAAATTGTATCTGATTTATGTTCCTAATCTTTTATGCTTACGGAATACTTGCAAGGTCGATAATTAAAAAACATAAATATATAATGTTAAGTAATTGTTGCGCTTAAATTCTGTAATTTAATATAATTATCTAATGAAACGCACATTAATTGGGATAACGTACAATTAAAGGTATTCGTTTTAGCTAAGTTTTAAGATTGCTAAAGTTACAACTTAACTAATACAGGGGAACAAATTTTCATTGATTTACATATTAACACTATATTATTTACAGATCTGAGAACTTAAAGAAAGGTGCAGTACCTGTGAACAAAGATGAGATAGTGGATCTTATACAAATGAATCTATTCGGCAGGGTTGGCTATGGTACGGTATTTTATTAAAAAATAGGTCACTATTATACCAGAATGTTAGATGTTACTAAAAACACCAATTTACATTTAAAGGGACTCCACTGAGGTTTTTTGACATGAGAGGACTGGAAATAAATGATCCATTTGATGTAGATCTAGACCAATAATTTGTGTTGAAAATTTCAGATCATTTGCTCACTCCGTTTTCCAAGAATAATTATTTTAATTGTGAACAAACCCAAACTTGAAAAACGTTATAACGCTTTTCACTCAAATCGGACTAAGAATAGCACAAACATATGATTTTCAAAGTATTTCTTGTATATTTCTTAATTATCTGTTGCGCATCTTTCTAATTCAGTACACCAGCCGATCTGTGTAAGCATTAAAAATTTTGTGTTTTATGCTTTTAAACCTCTGTGGAGTTCCTTTAACTGCTCATTGTCTCATTTAATGTATTTATTCTCAATAGTCATGTTTGGCCGAGAGCAAACTATCGCTTGGCATGCAAGCATTATGACAAGTAAAATGGTTTCCTGCGGTGAACATTTTAATGATATAAGGATATTTCATTTAACTATTTTCAACATTGTTTGTTGGGGGGATAAATAAACGTTTGTATCAGGAATATCGTTGACAATTAAATAAACGATCAATATAGAAGAAGGTCTTTGAAAACTGGTGACCGTTGAAGACCGGAGAAGGTCGATCATAAAACAATTATTTCTTTTTATGAAAATGATTAAATAGGCCTACCATTTTATGAATTATTCCGAGCCAAAAAAAATAAAGTAAACACACAAGTTAACGCAGAAAATATCTCGATGCCACTACGAATATTTTAATTTTGTAGATTTTCAGTATAAACAATTTATTGTTAGTAAAATTTGAGATACATATTAAAGACACATTGATAATTTTCAAACACATCATTCAAGTTTTTCCACCTTAAACGGTAAAATAATTATAGAAAATTAAAAATATCACGTAATAGTTTTTTGTTCTTAATTATAGGTGTAATTCGGACTAATTCCCTACAGGTAAATCCGTAACGTAACGGCAAACGTTATTTAGCTAGGTTTTCGAAAAGGTCAATTAACCAATCATGTACGGTTTACAGATCACATGCTCCTCCATGTACCGAAAACAGGTCACGTGCTCCTCCATGCCTCAAAAGTTAAACGCGTACCAATACCCTGCGGTCAGACCGCAGGGAATAATAAAAGTCATTGGATCAGTCAGAGCAATGCACACATTTTGTACCTTTAATGAAGAAAATATTTCTATAATAAAACTTTTCTTTCATGCTGTTCATTACTAATTCCAAATATAGATAAGAACTTACCGTTTAAGAATTTACCAACCTACATAAGCAATCAGAGACCGGTCTATTATATAATGATAAAATGGCATCTAAACTAGCATTTATTACACACCGTGTATATCAATTAACGCAGGAATTGCCCAAAAGTAACGCAGAATTTTGCAATTATATTGAAACATACGGTATTTTAAACCTCGTCAAAAATGTTTCCATGAAATTGTTTATTTAAGATCATTTACCTCGCTACCGAATTAGATTCGACTTTTTATGATTCGGTGTATCAATGTAAAGAGCCATTTGACAAACTACTTATGGCCGCAGATAAAACGTGACTTGGTTAATTTTTACGAGGTAACGCCGAATTCTTGAATGATTCGTCGAAGCACGGCTAGTTACCAAATAAAAAGTATCTGAATCATAATTTACCTGCTTTCTCCTATTACATGTATTATATGACATCAATAGATTTGCAAATGTCTAAGGTATACAGAAAATTAAGAAAATATAGTACGTATTAATATGCGTCTTTGTAGTACGGTACTTACTTCTAGTAATATCGACGTAATACAAAGGTGATCTTTAAAAGTAAACATATCTGTAATGATTGTACAGTATAATGCCATATCAGCCAAATGCGCTAATCTTACTGAGAGTGTTATTCGTTTTTACCATAGCGTTGCACAGTTTCGGTGCTACTTTTTCGTTGCTTGCACGTACTGCGTTACTGGATATACACCGTGTTACGGGTATAATGACTATTTTCAGGATGTTGTCGAGGAGATCCTCTCACAAACAAAGGAAAACGAATACAGCTTTTCAAAATACTGTGTCTAACTGTTATACCTATATTAGGTGTATGGGGGTTCACCATGCATTCACTAACAGTGAGTGTAGAGACAAAGGCCGACATTGAGACGGTAAGAAAATGTGATGTGTGCGTTAAGAGTGATTTACTAAACATAAGAGTACAAACAAACATTTCGTTTTAAAAGATGCTCCAAACAATTAATTTTTATTTCAATTCCTCCAAAATTACGGACAAAATTAAAAGTATCATACATCATTTTTTCAGAGAGAAAAGTCATTTAAAGTTGTGCGAAATTTCAGCTTAAATACTGTAATGACTGTAAAAATGTTTCTTACTATCAGAAGTCCATTATTTTCAAAATTTGAACTTGTATATGATAAGATCACATTAGAATAGCTGGGGGTGTTATTACAAACCGTATTTCAAGCTACATTTTTCACAATCTATATGTGAACGAAAATACTATACTGTAGTAAACTAAGAGAACAACAAAATTGAAAGAAATATGCATATAAATACTGTTTTATAAATGGATATATCAATAGTTTGATCAGAATAACCTCAGAACTATTGTCGTGAAACACTTGTACAAAATATCAGTCATATAATTATATATTTAGGCAAAAACATCGATGTCTGTAGTTGTGATGCTGGGAGAATTGATTCATCACATACAACGTGAACGTGACATGAGCGTTCTTTACCTTAGTGATTTAGGACCGGGAACCAAAACTTTCCTACTTGCAGAATACATGGCGACTGATGACGCTTTACAGAAGTTAACCACATGGCCTAGAGGACTGCAGGTACCACGTTAATAAGAACAATTATTTCTCATATAAAGAAGTGTTGCACCTTTGGGAATATAACTAAACAAGTATTAGGCTATTTTTACGTCTTTGCTCCATAGTTCTTTCTTCTGAAAAGCTTTGTCTCCGGGAAAGCATATGAGTAAAAGCGGTGCCTCCGGGAAACCATACAGTCTGATTCAAATCACACAATTTGATTGGTTTATTTGCGAAATAATAAAACATAAATGTGTGTATGGATGAGTATAATTTAAAAGTTCACACATATGGTCAACATAAAATCGCATGAAGAATGACAAAGCTTCTATTTTTCTCGCAAAATCATGTCATGCCGTTACATAACCAACCCTAAAATATTCATCATATTCATGACATACTCAACAAAATAGTTGTCAAACGTGCGGAGAACTATATGGGCTTATAAAATATTCGAGTATTTGTAAATAATCTTTATCCTTTTCTGATGAGGTATCTATCTTCTTCAGAGTAACCCACGTGAGGAGTTCCGAAGTAAAGCAAACTTGATGTCATTTATCACCCAGCATCGAGCATCGTTAAATCCAACAACCGTAGATATATATGCCGAGATTAATTTTTACAGTGGCATAACCAGTGAATTTCTTTTATGGTATGTACAAATTTAAGGCTTCAGCTCAAGGTAATTGGCTAAAGAAATTCTTTAATTTTACAATTTCAACACAGTTTGATATATTAGTTAGTGAAATAAACATTATATAGCGGTATTACAAGTTATGAATAGAGAATAAGTTTTTTTTCTATAAAAACAGGATTTATTTTCATTGAGTAGTATGAACATAAATATTTCATGAGTGGCGATAGCCACGAGTGAAATATGATAATTTTCATAGCACAAGATAAAAAAAATCCTGTATTTATAGAAAAAAACTTGAATTTTCTGTTTATTATGTACATTTTTCTCTTTTTTAACACCACAGTTTGAAAGACTTTCCCTTAAATATTGTATATTGGCTGAATTTAGAAGAAAGTAGTCCGGCAAGACACCAGTGACAATACGGAAAATATGTTTCACTGCAGTGAAAATACGGAAAATGAAAATACGCATTTTATTTCATCAACATTTCTCAATATTTCATATTTAATTAAGTATATAATAAAGTTATGATATAAACGTACTCGTAGTTGCATTTGAAAATAATGTGTTGGCTTAAATTTTATGACTATCAACAAACAGGTCAAATTTGTTTTACTGCTTTGCCTTGTAATTTAGTATTAAGAGTTTGAAGCACGACATTAAAATGAACGGAAAAAACATGAGTTATTCTTTTAATGACTTGTCAAAACATAAAACAACTGAACATATCAGTTTGAAAATAAACAGATACTAGTAATGTGCAATTTTGCAAAGCTTTAGTTTTAAAGACTGCTTATCATTCTCGGGAATATTTAATATAAGAATAAACATTTATTTATTTTCATTAGATGGATAACAAACTTCATTTTGACCATTTACTGATTCTTAATAATCAACATCTGGTGTCTAAGTAATGAGCTGTTGGTTCTGAAATTTGAATTTCAAACTTAATAAATTAAATATTATATGTTTTTCTAATACGATAATATATCAACTTCACAATCAGACGATAGACGTGTTAAATTTTGATTACGGAATAACGAATTTAACTGAAAATGACAAACAGCTGTAATATTCAATTTAGAAATACTATTCTCTTAAACTGTATACTGTTGTTATATGACATAACTTTGTTTCCTAGGTTAGTTGAGAATATTAAAGGATCAGGTTTTGGTTCTATATGGAAAACTTTGGTCGCCTACCAGAAGATAACACGGTGTAAAGAAGACATAGGGGTAGAACGAGCATATGGTGCCATGTTCTATGCTACCGGCCACTTCGAAAAATGGACAGACTATGAATTCTACAATGAAAAAATTCACGACTTTAAATACAATTATAAAACTGCCGTGTTTTATTCGGACGCCGTTGTCCCACTACACACGGAGGAAGTAAATGAGATCAAGTCAACAGGTCTTAACATTACAGAAATCATTTTCGGTTACCGTTTCGAAATTCAAAATAACGAAATGAATGTGTCATACAAATCTATTGAGAAAGCAAAATGGTTTTTTGATAATATTACAATATATCTAGACTCCCTCCTACAAATACAGCTAAAGGTGGCAGCTAGAATTACATCAGAGGTAAAGGACGTCCTGTCAGAGGTCATCATTAAGGTGAGTTGGTATATTTCTAATGGTATTTATATTTGTGAAAAGTAATCTGTACCTCTTTCAATAGGTTAAAGTATGAAAACCAACATAGTAAGTAAAGTACTTAAATATATGAATTAAAATATGTTTCACCTATAAAATGTATGATAATAAAGAATTATTACGCCGGACTTAAGCATACCATTTAATGGCTGGAAATATTATACATGTAATAGCTGCGGCATTGCAAATTGTTGAGCATTAAAGTTTTATTTATCAGATTGATTTGTATATTTATATTTCTGTTACAGACGTTTGTGTACGCACTGATGGTAGTGGTGGTGATAGCCATGTGCCCGGTGATAATGTTCACAGCTAACGGATTGTCTACAGATATCCAGCTCTATACAGTAACACTAGTTGAAAAATCTAAGGAGCTGAATATGGAGAAATATAAAACAGAAACTCTCCTTTATCAGATGGTACCCAAAACTGTCGCCGACAAACTAAAGAGTAGTGGCTCGGTCAGTATCTTACATTGACAACATTTCTATGTTACTGTTGATTGATAACTAAACACCAGGGCTTGTTTTTCCTTCTTTAGCAGGGGCAGTAATAGAGCTGCTTACCCAAAAGAAAAATTCTTTAAAATCATGTAGTTTTCCCCAAAAATTGAAATTACATCAAGCTTTTCTTTCCCTTTTCGAAATATACCGTGTATTTTTATTTCCAAACATTAATGGCAGGGCTGCTTCCCCAACCTGTGGGAAAAAAAGCCCTGTAAACGCCAATACACATACATTATAATTATATATGTTTAGAACTATATCTATATGTTTATCATAATTTGGAATAGTTTAAACATTAAATTCTAACTGATCATTATTGATTAAGAAAATACCATTCAGTTTCTAACTTAAGCTTACTTTGTTCGTTCTTGCCGCAATATTCGAGTATGTGTATACATACATTACTGGTAAATTATAAAAAAAAAAAAATGACGTTGACGCTATATATAGATAGCATCCGTTTACTAATCTACTTTCAGGTGAGGCATTTCTTTCTTGTAAAAGTATTTTTACATGATTTTATAACGAATCAATGTTTGAATAGAAGGAAAACCCATCATCGTGTATATGACACAGTGTGACCTATCAAGTTAAACTAACGTCATTCAATGACGTATTGTGAAATGTGTCTTAAATTCAAACTAGACCTATTTTCGTGTAACGACATGACATATAATTAGAATCGTGAAAGAAAAAAATACTTTTTTACTATAAGCTGTTCTAGTTTTAGTTATAGATGATTAATATAACTCTATATTCGTAAAGCTTCATTGTCAGGAGAGGTCAAGAACTAAAAACAATATTCAATTTAGTAACTAGACTAGGTCTATTTAGTATGGTGGCATATTTCTGCCACCAGACAACCATATAAGACTAAAGTAACTAGTTAATTAAGCGGTTAAAACTTGTAGGTAGTAAACACGGACATAAAAATTAGTATTGAAAGTTTTTTCATCTATTTAGTTATGATTTGTTCGATTAAGAGTTTGGTATTATTTAAAACAAAAGTATCAAGGTGAAATGACTTGACGTTTGGTAGTTAGGAGAAGTTAATTCATGTGCATATATTTCATAACTAACAGCAAATTTGCCATAACAAAAACATACATTTCTTTTCAAATATATATTTTATAATAATCTTAACATTAAAATAGAAATTAGCATGGTTTAATTGCTGAATAAGTTGTGTGACCTACACAGCCACGTACATGTATTTACATTTTCGTCTGCACTCCCCAGGGAGAGGTTGGTGTGCAAGATCCCAGATTATGTCATATCCTGTTGAGGACATGCCAGTTCAGTGAAACACAAATGAAAACTGAATAAATTCATTTGAATTTTCAAGAAAAAATGAAAAATGGAAGTGTGCGGGGCCGGGTCCTGTGCGGAACCGGGTACACTGACTCTAGTTAGTTATATGGTTATCTGGTGGCAGAAATATGCCACCACAATTTAGTAACTAGACTAGATCTTTATCATTTATTTAATCAAAGATGTAATCTTTAAATTTATTAATTCTTTATGAACTTTATGTTACTGTGTCTACTAGAATCTAGAGCTAGATCTAATCATTTTATGTAAGAAAGTAGATCTACATGACAAATAGTAGCTCTATGCAATTAGTGTCCAGTTTTATTTGTCATCCAATGAAAAACGCTGTATTTCTTCAAAATTCTGAGCGTTAATTTTCATAGAAGAAAAAAGCCGATACTGTATTGAAATCCGTTCATAGTCGCCTTCTATTTTCATAGTGTTTCATAAAACCGTGTAGTGACGTAATCAAGGGCCAAATAAAGCTTGACACTAAATCAAAATAAATGTAAATATGTAAATATGTTAGTGTTCATCCGTAGCTGTTCTACAGAAATTAGAAACATTCTCCTGTCGCTATCGCTCCCGTTCTGTAGAACAGCACGGATAAACACTAACATAATTATACTTAGCCTCTTTGTTTTGAATGGATTGGACATGGCTGAAACGAAAATAAAACATAGTCCGTAAAATCGGAACAATAACATGAATAATGAAAAGTAACATGCCGTAAAATCGAACATAACAAAGATACTAATTTTTACTGACCTGTTCAGCGCTGTCAAAGAGAACGCTGTGACGTGAACACTATAATTAATTGCGTCACTATCAAAGACTAGACAAGACCACACGAGTTGTCTCCCCTTCTGACAATGGTGACACATTTCAAGACAAGCTTCAAAATATATATAATCAAATTCAATATTGAACCTACCTTCATTTAATACTGACAGTACCCTGTATTTTGTTGTTCTATTTATTTATAACTTACTAAATTTTTCAATATAAATTTACGTTAAATCATTACAACAATTGTATGTTGTTAGACAAACATACAAGTATACAGTATAGAGGATATTCAAGTTTTTTCTATAAATACATGATTTATTTTCATCGAGTGGTATGAAAATAAATATTTCATGAGTGGCGGTAGCCACGAGTGAAATATGGTAATTTTCATGCCACAAGATGAAAATAAATCATGTAGGCCCTATTTATAGAAAAAACTTGAATTTTCTGTTTATTATATACATTTTTCTCTTTTTTGAAATTAAAATTTGAAAGACTTTCCATTAAATTTTGTGTACTGGCAGAATTTAAAAGAAAGTAGTCCGGCAAGAAACCAGTGAAAATACGGAAAATATGTTTCACTGCAGTGAAAAATAAATTTTTACAGTGAAAATACGGAAAATGAAAATACGCATTTTATTTCATCAATATTTCTCAATATTTCATTTATAAGTATATAATAAAAATATTTATTCCATGCTTTCCAGTGTTTTATTGTAATATATCAGATGATTATATTCTGATAAACCACTAGTGAAATTTATAAAATATAATTTTCACTGTAGCCGGACTATATCTGAATGCGGATGAAAAGAAAATCAAAACTACATGGAATAACAGGCAGAAATAAATGCCGCCATGCGTAAATTTTGCTTTTTTAAGAAAAGGAAGTCGGAGTCATCATACATCTTGTTAAAAATGTAGCACAATTAGAGAAATATAACAGACCTATGTTTCAAAATTGATGATGTGACGTCATGATGTGATGACGTCACAAAGGAGAATGCGCAACGTTACGCGGCAAAATCAGTTAAGAATACTTAAAATCACTTAAAAAGCATGAAATAAAAAGAAAATTTATTTGTTTTACATATAAGATTGAAAAAAAATTCATTCGTGAACACCAGCTATTATATTTTCACTCGTGGCTACGCCACTCGTGAAAATATTGCATCTGGTGTTCACTCAGTGAAATTATATTTCAATCTTACATGCAAAATAAACAAATATCCTCTATAGAATCTATACGAGTATAATTTTATACTGACAACTATATAACCCCTAGTTTCTTCTTTTATTCTACAGATGGATTCCGAATTTTTCAAGTCGGTCACCATATTTTTCTCAGATATAGCTGGTTTTCATAGAATAACATTGACACTGGCACCAATGGAACTCGTTCGAATCCTGAACAGTCTGTACACGTCCATGGATGAGATTATTGACAATTTTGATGTTTATAAAGTTGAAACTATAAATGACTCGTATATGGTAGCTTCTGGTACTTATTTTCATATTTAACATTCTGTGTTGCAGCATTTCAACTCATTTAAACTAGATATTAGTATAATACTTTAATGTATTGTGTTTTATTTAAAACACTCCATGATGTAAATTCATTTATAATTCTCTGTTTGAAGGCACAATATACCCCAGAAATGATTTTATTTTTATTCCCTGAATTAGATCTACCTGAGCCATCTTTCTTCTTGCTTTTTAGCAATACAGTTATTAAGCTTCTAGCTTCCAACACAATCGAACTAAAATTTTAAAACTAAAGATAAGGGACATACCGATATAAGAGTAGAGAACAGATCATTCTGTACAACAGGAAATCTCATACTGTCATTCATAATTTCAGGACTACCAAGCAGGAACGGTGACAAACATGCGCCGGAAATAGCAACGTTAGCATTGGCCATCTTGAGTATGATTAGAACAAAGAAATTCCCGTGTTCTACACAAGTTGAAGTGCAGCTTCGAATAGGAATTAATACAGGTACAATTATACAAAATATATCACATCATTGATTTCAAAAAGCACCTGTTCATTGTTGTTTGCATGCCATACTGAAAACCTAAAAGTCGAGGTTTTGGCGTTGCTAACAATTCTTCAGTAAAGAACACACATCGTTTGAAAGTACGGAAAATATGCATTTTAGCAGCATTTCTTAATATTTCATTTATAAGTTTATAATAAATGCAACGTCTCATATAATTACGATTAATGCAAAGTAAGAAAGCGATATCTTAGTAAATGGTATAAATTTACATCAAAATTTTGTTAGTAAATGGTATAAATTTATATCAAAATTATATCAAAATTTTATAAGAAAATGGTATAAATTTATATCAAAATTTTATTACTAAGTAATTAATAGTATAAATTTGCATCAACATTTTATTTCAATATATATGCATTTGAATATTTCTGGGTATGAAGGCTCGTGCATGGCGGGAATTGTGGGTACAGTTATGTTACGATATTGTCTGTTTGGAGACACCATAAACACAGCCTCTAGAATGAAGACATACGGAATGGGTAAGTGTGTTACAAGTGCTGTTAATGTTTCTTTATTTTCATTATAATTATTTTACAGTACAATATAAGGTATATGTATTAATAACCTGTTGTTTATTAATCATAATGACTGGTACTGATACATTATTCTGTAGTCTCGTAAGTGTACTGATTTGCTCTTTCTAAAATCACTAAATACTATATGTATATATGTGTGTATTGTCTTTCAGCCAACAGAATTCACATCAGTGAACATACACATCGAGCACTAGCAAAATTTGGAGGTTTTCGTATGAAGTTAAGAGGTACACTTGATATAAAGGTAAGCATTTCTGGTATCTTAAATAAAGATCAATTGAGAGCGTTTACACATAAAAGAAGACAGGATTTATAATTAGAAAGGAATAATGTTGCTGCTTCTCATTATTGTATGCAGAAAAGAATAAAATACAGTCAGTTCCCAACATTCATTACTAACTCATACCCGAATAACTTGTTTCTTATTACAGGGTAAAGGTCTAATGAAAACATATTGGATTCTAAATCGCTGGGATGACGGCGATTGTTTTGATGAACAGAACGAAGAAAGTTTAAACTTGCCCGGGGAACTGATGACGTACTCTGACGTCAAGATCAGTAGTGCCAATAGCTGCCCTTACGACATGAGAGACTCTGGAATATCTGAGCGGCGAGTGTGGCGTGAGGAGGACGTTTTTGTAGGAGACATGCAGAAACAGAATATACAAAGGCATGGCGGTATAAACAAATGCTGAACATAATAACGGCGATGTTTCCATGTGACTTTAATATAGAAAATTATACACAACAAAAGAATTGTTCCAAGGAGACAATTCTCAATCAAACATATTTTACATTTGTTTGTAATAGTGTTTTCTGTATAAATTGATGGAACTAGAGTATAGTTTTCTTCATAATTCAAAAACATGTATAAGAGGTTTAGGAGAGCAAAGAACTTTTTCAAGAACAATGTGTTAACATTCATAAATGTAATGTTTGAAAATGTCCAATACAAATTCTAAGAAAATACACTATATGACTGATTTACAGGTGCCTCAGATGTAAAATAAATTTAGGTAAACATCCAAAACTACAACACTGAAAATAAAACTCTTTTTTTTTTTCAAGAGAACATTACTAAAAATCTAACAAAGATTCGTCTATTTTATATAATGAAAAAAATCTATATTGGTTTCCTGATTATATATTTCGAGAGGATCAAAATATCGGAATATAAAGTACTTGTATTTGAAAAGTTACATACCTCTCAATAAATTCCATTAATTCAATATTTATTTTATCTGATAAAAATCTTTTGCGATAGAAATGTCCAATATATAGACGATTGTATCACTGCTTTTGAAATAGTTTTTAACACCAATGAATAACTGTTTACAATTAAATCAATAATATCACTGTCCAAGGAAAAAAGAGCTAACAAAATTTTTTACCACCTACTTTCTAAGATTTTATTCGGTATGTCTTAAATGTTTTGTTTTCTAATAAAAAGAGTAGTTTTGTTGTTTTGTTTCACAGTATGTTTTTGCGGACGACAAAATAAATGATTGGTGTTGTTGAATTATGTTTTTATCTTCCCTACCGCATGTCTTTATGAATTGCCGTTCTATGTTGAGTTTGCTTACTATGCTCAAAACTTGAGGGTTTTTTTTTCAAGAAAGACGGTACTAGATGCAGTCAATAAAAACTGTTGACCTCTCGTACACATAGACAAACTTATTTCCATCATAATAGTTATATTATGTGAAGATGGCCTAGGAAATATTCATTGTATATTGTTTGATTTTATTAACATGTCATTGGCATACTGATTTTGCGGTCAATGGCAGAGTAGTTAAGGTCGATGACTTCAAACTACTTGTCCCTCACCGCTGTGGGTTCGAATCCCGACAGGGACTTTGGATTCTTTCATGTGAGAAAGCTAACCAGCTATCTTATGGAACGTCAGTGGTTCTACTCAGGTGCCAGTTCGCGCCTGAAATAATGCACGAAAGGGCACTTAGCTAAGGTCTTCTTCCACCAGTAGAGCTTGAACGTCGCCGTATGACCTATACTGTGAAACCCAATCAAACAAACAAATACGGTCAATGCACTCACTATCTTAATCTTCGATTCATTTCCGGCAAGTTCCGTAAAATGTGATTTCAATAAAATAATTATAGCGTTAAACTACGGGTTGATAATTCTACATGACCCCCAGACCATGTGTGTACATGTTTTTTTGTTGTTTTTTTTTGTTTGTTTGTTTTTTTTTAACATTATTGAAGCTATGATTGTTTTTTATCTTGTTCGTTTTGTTTTAATATGTTTAGCATTTATTTTTGTAGAGTTTATACTTTTTTTTGAAATAACATTGTTTAAGAATTGATATTTAAAATTCATTCGGATTACAATGGATAAATGTCATTTCAATACCGTACAACACATACAAATCGAGACAAAACAGTGTTTCTAAGTGATTCATACCCGTGTAGAAAATTATGCAAGCACTCGACCATTACCAAAAAAATACTGCAAAAATAAGAGAGTAGGTTTAAAAACAATGGCAACAGTAGGGATCGTACCACAAACCTCTGATATATCAGACAATCATTCAACCGAGTGTGCTACTGCGGACTTGACTACGACCTATACTTTAAGCTGGTTTGACATGTGAAAACATTACTTATATACTCCATGTTAATTCTTGTAAACTACACGGATAGAACCGAAATGGGATCGAACGTTTAAATGAGTGTTATAATATATATAACTATAATATGTATGTTTTAAACAAACAGTTAGTAAAGTTAGTCAAATGTTTAGATTTTTAATTCAAACATCCCATTGGAAATAACTTCTAAATTGTAATTTATGAATTTTTAAAATATATTTAATAAATTATCAAAGATTCTCAAAAATAATGAATAAATCATAAAAAAAATCTAAATAATAATGAATAAAATAATTTACAACACATTCCAAGAAAGAAATTTGACTTCCTTTTGAAACCTGTATTGTATCATTTTGTTGTGCATACATTGTATATGATATAACTACTGTTTAAACCACACTCATTCCAATGCATAATGAAAAAATACCTTCCTGAACATTAAAAATATCTTCCAAAACATATGATGAATAAAATCATTAAAAATATCTTCCAAAACATATGATGAATAAAATCATTAAAAATATCTTCCAAAACATATGATGAATAAAGTCATTAAAAATATCTTCCAAAACATATGATGAATAAAGTCATTAAAAATTTCTTCCAAAACATATGATGAATAAAATCATTAAAAATATATTCTAAAACATATGATGAATAAAATCATTGAAAATATATTCCAAAACATATGATGAATAAAATCATTAAAAAATACCTTTCAAAATAGAATGAATTTAAATCATGAAAAATACTTTTCAAAAACATAGTGAAAAAAAAACAAACAATAAAATACCTTCCAAAACATATTGAATAAATCATTAAAAATACCTTCCAAACAGAATGAATAAATCATTAAAAATAACGTTACCTTTCAAACAGAATGAATAAATCATTAAAATACCTTCCAAAACAGAATGAATAAATCATTAAAATACATTTTAGAATATAATGGATAAATCAAGCATAAAGTATATAAAACACTGGTGTGTTGAAAACGGTAAATGTGAAAAATACTTTGACTCTATTAATACTACTGTCACAAAAACAACATAGGTGTAGAAGTACATATGATGGTGTTCAAACTATGTGTTATAATTGTGGACAATTGGACATGTTGACCAGTGAAGGTTTGACCGAGGTAACACCCATTCATAGCCAAACTCAAAAAAGTGTTTGTATATTAAATAGTGTTGTTTTGATTCTGTTTAAGGAAGATTTCTTTATCATTTAACAATTCTGAACACAACGACAAAAATTTCTTGAAGAACACTGCATCAAATTGTAGTTCATGAACGGGTTACTTTCGTGGGAATAGAAAATGGTCCAATAGCATTTCTATCATTTCTATCATTATTTGATATATAACAACAAATAGTTGAAATACCCGTAATGAAGATTCTGTTTGTTTAATAAAGTAAATTTAGTGTATAGATAAGGCGACATAAGCTATTTTCATGTGTACGTTTTCATCACCTGCGAAACTTTATGCATTACAAAAACTCAATATTCACAAATGAACTTATTTAAGGCAACACAATTGTTATTGTTAAATCTGTACATGTCCCCATCATCGGTAAGTAATAGACAATGAGAATTGCATCCGCTAGGTGCATTCAATTTCCACAATGTCGTCTGCGTCATAGGGATGTCCTGCCCGTCTGTAAATTTCCATACCGGTAAGTTGGAACCAGTGTCACAGAAACCATCTGCCCAGTAGTGATCAGATGTAGTGTAACCTGTCAAAATATTGTATGACTTTATGAATAACTATGTGAATTTAATCATTTAACATGTGTGGTAAAGAACAATAAGAATAAACTTCTGCTCATTTAGATTTGAATTCATCTTACAGATATGTGTATCTGATTTATTCTTTATTGTCGAGTGTTTTATTCAATTACATTTTCTTGATAAAATAATGTATACTTGTTATCAAAGGGAACACATACAATAGGCGTACTTATATTTTGGAAATATTACAAATCAATTTTGCTGATAAGATATGGTTTTAAGTTTCTACCATGTTCGTAACTATTACCAGAGCAGGACATCAACATGTTTGAAATTGTTTTCAGTTTCCATTCTGCATCAATGACCGCAAGGCGTCCATTCAACGCATTTCCACACACATACTGAGCGTCTTCTTGTGAAAATGTCCCGTCATAGAATTTCAGTCGAAATGTCATTTCCGGTTGGATAAAACCATCAGCATCAGGACACCCTGGAGGAGGCATAACAGTATATTATTAGACATCTGTGATTATAAAACAGGGGTGTGTTTCATAGAAAATACTAAGTCTAAAACATAAGACTAAAATTAGGTCAGGAATAAGAATTCTTAGGTAAAAAAAACCGATTCATTAGCTTTATGGAAAATGATGCCAATATTATAGCGTTATGTTCTGCAATCATAGATATACCGGAAGAACAAGCCAGGCATTCCCATACGTTCCCACAGATAACAAGCACATTCAATTTTTGGCATATACGGATTTATGAAAATTATAGTAACTTTGTATTTCGTTTAATAACTTTGCAGTTAGTTGCCGATGTCCTGACTGAAAGTTAGGGGAGTGGCCCGTGGACGTCAAGGAAGGGTAAAATGGTGCATGGCATCGCACCAACAGCCGTTATCAGGACTACATCCTTTTTAAGGTGTCCATTGACCGCCGTACAGAGACCTAAAATCAAAGCTTAAGCTAATTCTCTGTGGAAATTAAATTGAGGTAAATTATCACCATTTTGTGCTTCAAATTTAACTTTTTAACCTAATTCAAAGTTTAGGGGTATGACTGGTGGCATGTCCGGGTCCGTGCTGCATTTTGTGTGTACGTGTATTTTAGCTTATTTATACTCGCTACCGGTTGCCCATATGGGCGATATGGGCGAGTCCTCAAGAATAATATGTAATTTTAGATTTTAGAAGATAGTGCAGAAAGATGCCACAATTCCAGAAGCTTCTCCTGGTTCGTAAGTGTGCCAAGTATTAAAGTACTCATACTCGGGACCTCGGTTCAAAGTCTAATCCGAAAGACTGATTACTAGTGGCCAGCATGGGAATCGAACCCACAATGTCGAGATTACAAGTGTCGCGCTCTAACCGATTGAGCTATGCGGACTGGCTGAAAGTATCATGACTGATGCCATAAGGTGTCAAGATAGAATTGCATGCCACTTTTTAAATATTTAATTACGAATATAATTATTGAAATGCGATCGTATAGCGTAGAAAGATGTTGACAATCACATAATTTGTATTTTTATTACTAGTCAATTAAAGATGTGACTTACTTTCTTTTTTGTAGAACTCGGAACCATCAAAAATGTCCATTACACTGTTATTAATAATCTGGTTGTCACATCCGATACATTGTAACGTAGACTGCTTAAACGATATGCTCTCACATTCCCCACGGCTAGAACATAATAAGGAACATTCACCAATGCTTTTAATGTTCTTTACATCAAACATAATGTTGCCCGCCTGACATATCTGATTATCTAGTGATTCAATTCTTTTGTATTTAGTAATGAATGAAAGACAGAGTCCATTTCTGAAAGAAATAAACAAAACTAAAATTATCAGATACATGTTATTTCGTGCACCTTTTCTTAGTAAATCCTATTTCAACTTTACCCAACGTCACTTTATATTTACCGACAAAAGTACAAAAAAACTTGTTGTGGTCAGTAAGGGAGGTGATTTACATTAGTTAAATCGATATTGGACAAAAAGCATTTTAAAAAATAATAGCCTAACTTTCCCTGTATAAATATGGATAATAGGTTGACAATCATGAAAACAATGAAGCTGTCAGGAAAGCAGGCGAGAATCAATTAACTTTGACTGAAAGAATAATAGAATAATATAAAATAATTATAAAAGAATAATATAAAATGGAAGAGCCATTATATTTGGACTTCTGTTTATTTTATGATATTTCTGGAATTTTCATTTTTGATGATAAATTATTAAGGCATTTTAGAATGAAACAGAATAAGCAATATATCAAACTCCTTTTATTTCGGAAAGATCAATTTTGTTTAATGTTTTGTTTGTTTAATTGAGTTTTACGTCACACCGACAGATTATAGGTCACATGGCGACGTTCCAGCTTAACTGATGGAGGAAGATTATTATTTCAGGCACGAACGGGCACCTGGGTAGAACCATCGTCGTTCCGTAAGCTAGCTGGATAGCTTCCTCACATGAAAGAATTAAAAGTTCCTTTAATCATATCTAAACAGACGCGGAAGAGATCAACTACGGTAACGCTACAAGCTTTATAATATTGAAATTAGTTTTCCCTTAGCCACTACATCCGATAGGAATAAACAAGACAACTAACTTCATTGTATTTTTGGTCTGGCAGTGACCGGCAATTAATGTATTTAAATTCCATACTATACATTCTATACAATTACATATACACGAATTCATATATTTATACATTCAAAATTAGCAATTATCTTTAAATGTAATAACACATTATCAAACGAGATATACATGTAAGTGCATCTTCAACATATATATATTCATACATTACTCACTAGCATTTCTAAAGGCAGCCACGCCTATCATCAGACAAAGACCGCCCAATGTGGGCATTATCTCAGGAACATGTACACTTCAATACTCTTCATTAGTGATATCTTTCTAAATACACTTTCAGAAAAAATAAATGTACCAGGCAACAACACAAACAAAAATACGTAGTACCGTGCCGCTATTAAAATGTAAGAGTGATGTAGCACTTTTTTTACAATTGATCTTTGTCTGAATAGGTAAAACAGGTTTCTTAGAAACCAACATAGTTAAATGTTCATAACATTCGTATTTAAGGTTTATTTGCATCGAAGCCAAATACAAAAATACGAAATGATGATGTTATGTGCCTGAGTTATCGACCCTTTTTTTATTAGATTCTGTAAATGCCATTTTCTTCGGATAAGATTACGAGCAATGACATCCATATGACGGAAATTTCTAGAAAAGGAATAATGCCTAAAAGACCAAGAACAAGTGATGTCGTCTAATGTAGTTCTGACATTGTAAAATTGATTTAAATCAAGTAGAAAATGGTGCTTTAGTGTTAATATAATTTGATAATTACACCAGTGTCGACATTACCCGAAGTTGCTCTAGTACAAGATAAAAGGAGAATTTTATATGTCTTAATGGCAAAGTTGGTAAAGTCATTTGCATAGATTACAATTTTTTTCACGAGTTCGAGCATCACAAAACTCTTTCTCTCATTTGATAATATCACGTGCATAGTCTTGTAGCTTGAGCTCTTAATTTGGGAATATCTGATACATGCTTTGTTTTTATAGTTTTTATAGTGGAGAATAAAAGAAGAAGGAAAAAACATAACGCCTCAAAAAGGAATAAATTATTGCATCTTTAGGAATGGCAAAAATCAGTTTATAACGTTCAAATTATGGTTTTTGGAGCCTCTTGTAACATATGCTAATATATTACCTGATGAAAGTAGCACTGTTTGTGAAATTATTTATCATAAAAGGAGGAAAATGTAAACATATCAGTATTTTGACTTCCATACAAAAAAGGACTCCAAAAAATAAAAACTTTTGAAAAAGTATATCTCTGCATAATTATATAAATAAACATAAACAATTAATATACATATATCTGTAAACAATATACATAAGTATTTGCAAGAAGATATTTCAACATTGTCTTTGTTCCTGCTTTAATATTGAATTATACAGTTATGTAGGTATCTTGGTATTGTTTAAAAATATTTTTTTATTATTTTACAGGATGCGTATTGCCCGGTAAAGGATGCTGAAATGGATTTCGGATACACTTTCTTTTCTATTTTGAATTTGTAAAATTAAATAGATAAATGAAAAAAAAGGAAAATAATTGCGTTCTTGTACTTAAAAATATTTAAGTCAAATATCGTTTAATTAACATGGCAACAACAAAACTGTGGAGCATGCTACATGTACATTATTTGGCAAGAAAAGTGTGACAGAAATTCTGGTACTGGAGTTTGGTATGGTACTTTGTAGTGGGGATTGGAAACTGTAGTGGGAGTTGGGAAATTTGGGTGGCTACAAAAATAAATAGAAATATTAAATAGTGTTCATTCATTTTGTTTGAGAAGACTATCTGGTCTTCCAAGATACAGTCAGGTGATAAAGGTGCTCAACATCAATACGGGCAAAAACAAGACGAAAGCCCCTTGCATATTTTCCAAAAGCAAGATTGTTCAATAATATTGGTTCACAGAGGTCATTTACGTTTTTTTTTTTGTTTTTTTTTTTGGGGGGGGGGGGAGAGAGGGGTGGGGGTGAATTAGCTTCAAGTAAAAACTGTGCATCATCACGTTATTGGCGTCCGCGCCGAAGCACGATGGAAAGGCAATTGCAACTTCTCGGGCCTTTTCGTTGGTCATAATAGCCGATCATTCCGATTGGTATGAGTGTTTATCAAAAATGAAATGTCGCGATATGCACAATGAATAGCGAACTGGATAATTTTATTATAGCTAACACGACATTATCAAAGCGATGGTGTGTAATAAAAATGCACCGCCCGCGAATCTGGGATACTTTGGCTGGTGTTGGAATTCGAGCTATTCTGCTGCGACGGCCAAGGTGATTACTCACAGAACACGACTTGTTATATTATTGGTCAATCAAGATTATAAAAGTCATTCTTTTGAAACATATTACTAATTCAGCTTAGCTTGACAACGAGAAAATGAGCATAATGTCACTTTAATAATTTCTCGTTATCATATGTTTTACTTTTTGAGGCTATCAATCTTTAAAAAAGAAACATGCTATATTATTACTTTCTTTTATCATATACATTAGTAAAACTTACAGGAGGGCTACAGATTTTCACTAATCAAATCAATTTAAAAAGTATATTTCCTAACAATTAATGAATGAGTACCGTGCGATCATAAAAAAAAACCATAATATTTTATTTCAAAACTCAATAACTTCGACAAAACGATGGATTTGAAGCATATAGGACCCCCATTTAAACAACATTTTCCTTACGCATGTACTATCACGGCTGTGGCGGCAACGCTATTGGCAGGCGATAGTTTTAATTTATAAATGAGTAAATAAACAAAATAAATGAAAAATATTGAACTCAAACCTTTTTTAGGATGTACATTTTAAATATTTTAAGGGAGCATACTTTATCACAAGATTTGAATCTTATTTTTTTATTTTAATTATCTTTTTATTTTTATTTTTGTTATCCATTTGATCCCATTATGAACTGCTTCGAAGAAAGTGTAGGCAAAATCAATAACATATAAATGTGTACGCAGTATCTTGATTTTTTGAGAGTGTACGCAGTATCATAATGTCTATTTCCTGTAAATAGTTCGTTTTAAGACATTTTCGTACAAAGGAAAAATAACAAAGATTGAAAATATATTTATGAAACAGGTTCTACAATAAACTAACTTCCAGTTGTGTGAAACTTTCAGTTTAATCGACAATTTCTCAATTTCTGTAACATTTCAACGCCGGGTGTACGCAGTATCCAGAATCAAAATCGCATTCAACGCGAAATACTGACAAGAAAGGGAAGACTTGTGTCAAGGCATTTGGAATATTAAAACTAGAAGTAAGGACATCTTCTTTGCAAAAGAAATTAAATTCAAATCTATTCTGATTGCTTTACATGACTCGTTTTTGTTCAAAATAACGGTTGAAAAAGTGTTCGCGGTATCAGAATTTTGAGGATGCGCGCGCATGGTATGACCCCCTTGTTTTAAGTGGGGCTAGAATGCTTAAAAACAAAGCATTCTTAAGCTTTGGACCCAAACCCATTCTGCACCTTTATAAGTAGCAACTGTTTTAACAATATATTAATTTAAGAATGATAATAGCGTGAAAATTTTGAATAAGTTCAGTGAATGTTTTGGCCTGTTAAATATTTCATTACATTAAAATATATAAAAATTACCGCGTTATATTACAGATATTTCAAAATCTCCTTTTAGAAATGTCAGTAAATTGATGGCTCATTTTTTCACATTTGAATAATTATTCTGGAAAAACGAAGTGCGCGAATAATCTTAGATTTTGCACATAGATTAGTGGTCTAAACCTACATCAAATGGCACATTCATCTTGAAAAATATTTTCAGTCCCATCATGTCAAAAATCCCCAGTGGAGTCCCTTTAAGACGTTTTGATTGGTTTATTTGTCTTAATTTAGGATAATAAAGAATTTAACTGACATTATGTTATGGTGCATTCGTTTTATTATCTGACCGTTTATTCACTGAATATTTAGGCCAATGAGAGCTCACAGGATGATAATGGTAAATCATCTAATATCATCAAGAAGAAAAAATCAACTCGTCACCAAGCCCAGTCAAAAGATGCGGTGATGGCTAAATTAACCGAGCAAATGACTGCTAACACACAGCTACAAGTCTATTGTCGCCAGCGCAAGTGTCTGCACAGCAATTGTTGGGATCCTGGATTGGAACTGTCTCTGAGTCTTTTCAGATAGCTCTTTGATTGACAATTTCTACCAGGAAAGCGTTGACCTTGTACAGAGATTTCAAAGAAGAGTAAAGAGCTTTCAA